GAAGCCTCCCTCCGCCTCCGCCCGCCGGTGGTCGCAACCACATTGCTATTATGGCTACGAGAGAAGACTACGTATTCCCCGAGTTTGACGATTTGCCAAGAATAAAAGGCCAGCCTCAAGGATGCTTATGGGGTTTCTTCGATAGAAATGGCGAAAGAGATCAGTTAGGGAGTAAGTCTTGGTGTCAGACATAATTGGGTCCAGAAACTTGATGAAAGGTTAACGCAATGCACAGCTATTCGCCTTCTCACAAAAGATGTGATATGTCAAGCTAGGAACGAGATCCAGACCGGCACTCATGTGCAGCTAGATTGGCCACTCCACAATATTGAGTTCCCTGGGTTTGGACGTGTGCCATTACAACATACTGTGAAAGATCTGAAAGACGAGGGATTTGTCGCCTACGATGATGTGATTTCTATCAACACTCAGACCAGCTCCCAATGGGACAGTCTTAAACATGTAGGCCAATCTCCCTAGTCAGACTGCTCCAAGTCAGTGCTGATATCATGCTGTTGCCAGTGGGGCATTCAAGAGCAGAGTCTATACTATAACGGTTGGACGCATGAGGAGCTGGGAGAAGTGCCCGACCTCGGATTGCACAGTGAGTATCCCATTTAAATCAGGAGTCTCATCACGATTATGATAGTTCCTAGTATACTAATCCATCAAGATATATGTAACCAGGGAGGAATAGTTGGTCGTGGCGTGCTGGTGGACTGGGTACGTTCAATGCATATTAGATGAGGTTAGCAGTACTTACTGATACACCATAACAGCTGAGTTGGTGGGAACACAAGCATCCGGGGCAAGAACCCCCATCTGCTATTACGCCGCACCAGATTCCAGTATCGGAGATCGAGGAGGTCCTTGACTACCAAGGTACTGAAATAAGGCAGGGCGATATATTTATCACGAGAACGGGCTTCGTTCGCTGGCATAAGTAAGCTACGCCGAGTTCATGTTCTGCTTCCTAAGAGTGAGCAATCATGAAACTAACATTATATCTAATAAGTAATGCAAACCCTGAGACACGAGCAAAGGGCACGCGCGACCAGCACTATATGATCGGTATTGCTAACAACGAAGAGACTGTACGATGGTTATATTCCAAGCACTTTGCCGCCGTCGCGGGAGACACAATGGGCTTTGAGGCTTGGCCGTTTCCCAAAGACTGCTGCCTTCATGAGTGGCTACTCGTTCAATGGGGCACTCCGATCGGAGAGTTGTGGGATCTGGAGCTTCTAGCTGAAGAGTGCATTCGGCACAAGCGATGGAGCTTCTTCTTTACTAGCGCGCCACTACGCGTTGTTGGTGGATGCGCTTCGCCTCCTAATGCTATTGCCATCTTTTAGCCTTGCTTCGTTCGCAATGGTAAGATTTCAATGAGACAAGAGCTTCATGTAATGATTCCGTTAAGAAGCATTTGCTTCAGTGCAAATAAATACGCTAGAAAATAATGATCTCAGTGGTTCCATGGTACACGGGGTCACACCCATGGTAAACGCAAATGTGGCGAGCAGACCCATCATTGCACGAAGTCGCCGACTTAGACATACCTTCCAGCCGCCTCATTCTGAAACCAGATGCTTGCCACAAACCATAAACCCGAGCTGGGAGGATCCGCTGAGCCGACCCTGCATCTGAAGCGAAGCAGCCAAATTGAAGGGATGGAAGTGTGGAGATGTAGAGGAGAATCTGGAGATTGGGGAGAGCAGACATTTGCGGGGTCACGGCTAAGGAGTTAGCTTAATATTCGGCGTCTTCGCCCTGAAAAGGAGAGCATTCCCCGCACATTGACTCCTTGAAAGTGTGAGAAGCCGAAAGCCCACATCCCCCCTGAGCCGAGATTCTTGCGTACAGTCCCATACCCACCAAGATGGTCAGACCACATTCCGCCCTGGGCCGTAGGATACATCGCACATCAATTGCATGCCGTCGTTGCAACTCCCGCAAAGTCAAATGCACCGCGTCAGCCCAAGTCCCCTGTTCGGGCTGTGAGCTGGCCGGTGTAGAGTGCATCCCTATCGACTCTCAACGTGGGAAGTATCCCCGCCGCAAAGCTCAGGAGCGTATTCGACGAAGCTCTGAAAGGCCTTCTGAACAAGGCAGGACACTCGAAGTTGTTCAGCCAGAACATGAAGCAGTTCTGACTACAAGTCGTATCGCCCCTGCTTCGCGACCAGAATCTCCTGGTGCTTTCTATGCACAAATTGCTCAACAAAGCCTCGGCAAGCCTGAAACCACTCCACATCATGCCAGCGAAACCGTGTTTCTCGGGGAGGCATTCAGTCTCTCTTACGTGCTGCATGATGTACTCGCGCCTTTCCTGGCTGACTCTCTTCACTTTCAACGCAGACAGCATTTTCCTCTCATTTCGAATCGTACAGCCCCTTCGCGTGTAGATATAGTTTCTAAGCAAGTACAGTACCTCAAAGATCATGGACTATGGTTCCAACCAACCGAGAACGTTCTCAGCAGCCTTTTGGAATGCTACTTCGACAACTTTCACCCAGCCTTTCCAATCTTTCAGCGCTCTCAATTCTTGACCGCTGTTGCTCAGCGACAAGCCTCACTTATCGTTCTCAATGCACTGTTGATGGTAGCTGTTACCATCTGTGATGACGAGCTCTTATGTGGAGTCGAGGGCCCTGATCGTCGAAGTCTTCGAAGACTATACTACCAGCAAGCCAAATCGCTGTATGACCGTGACATGGAGCCAGAAAAGTTTGATATCATCGCAGGTGTATTCTTGATGAGCTTTTGGTGGGACGGCCCTAATGACCAAAAAGACTCATGGCACTGGCTAGGAGTGGCGGCTAGCTTGGCACAAAGCCTAGGCATGCATCGTTCGTACGTCTCATGACTAATAGTCTCACTGTTTGTATACTTGGTTGCTAAATATGACTGACGGGATACTAGGATGCAATATTCTGGGGTAAGCCAGTCGAAAGCCAAAGCATGGAGACGCTTGTGGTGGTCCATTAGAGTTCGTTCAGAACCAGCAGCCCTGACTCTTGGAACGTTTGTTGACTAGTCCTACAGGTACGAGATACTCTAGTGAGCGGGTCAATTGGAAGACCTCAGCATTTCTCAGATCTATCTTGTGACGTTGAACTACCAGTCATCGATGATGTCTACGAGGCAATCGGTGAAGACAATGAGGAGAAGATTACGTATTCTGTTGAGATGGCAAAGCTTTCGGTATTGTGTAAGATGTTGAAGTCCTCCATCATGGCACTCACCGGTCGTTAATATTCAAAAGCTGATTGTCTTAGTAGTTAGCCAGATTCTCACCTCACGATACGCTGCCAGTAATAAAGGCTCAGAAAGTCAAACCCGGGAAACACTTGAGGCGTCTCTTGACAGGTTCCGCGAACAAATACCATCCTCTTTACAGTATTCCGGCGTAGATCGAAACAGGCGAGGCCTCTGGTCGGTGACATTGTTAATGGCCCTTAAGTAAGGCTCCTACACTGACATTTTTTCAACACTTGGAACTCTCCCCCGCTGAAGCTAATCAACCTTTGTTATATTAGCTACGCTTCGATCTTGCTTTGTCGACCCCCTCGTAGCATGACTGGTCTGGAACAAACCACACAGTGGGGCAATACCCAAAAGGCGATTGACTCCGCGAATGAAGTCACTCGAGCAATGGAAGATATTCTATCGGTGTCGATTGCCCATGTTTGCCAAATCCATACGTAAGTGGCTTCTTTCCCAAAGTCTTTGCATCGAAATCAACCGCCTGCTACTCCGATGTTTGTATCAAATTATTTGACATATTACACACAACCTACTACCTCAAACTCGTTGAGATTAGGATATTATTAACTCTTATGATAGAATACCTGCGCTTTTCAATGCCCTGGCTATGCATATATGGGCTCTTTGCACGTCATCCGAGGTTGGCCGAGAGCTAGCGGAAAATCGATGTCGGACCTGCATCCTTGGCCTTAGCGTTATGCAAGAGTCGTGGCCTGTCGGCGGCTGGGTCTATCGTCTCTTTGTGAGCATCATGAAAAGACTTAAAGCCAGATCTGGAAGCTCAACTCGAGATGATGGCCTGGTAAGACATTTCACGCACGTACCTTCGAGTCGTGGACCATACCAAACACCCGAATCGTGGCAAACCGAAGGCAATGCCCCGTCATTGGACAATTGTTCCGCAAATCCGGCCTACTCACTGCTGGACTCAGGAGACGCCCAATCCTTCATCAGACATAACGGTCAACAGACTTGGTGGGGAACCACGGAAGAAGTCATCGCTGGCGACTTCATACCAGATCTGTTTCTACTCGGAGACGCTGGTCATAATCTTCCTCTCGATCAGGGAGATTTCTTTGATCTACTACACGGATTACATTAGAATCTCTTTTAGACACATGGCAGCGGTCCCTCTATTTCGCTTACAGTGAATGAGCCAACGGTGACAAGGTGTTCCTCATCGTGCATCAGTTGGCCAGCCATCTGGCTCACTATGGAGTATCACAGGAGTCGAATCTGAAGAGAAACCCTTTTACTTCTGTAGGAGAAGAGAGTGATGTTATTTTCACATGACAATTTGCTTGGTGCTTATAGGTCTACAAGCAATTTTTGCTACATAACTGGGAACTTATTGATAATTAACCAACAAAAATCAGTGATTTATTAACACGCCAAGACAAATCTGTTTAAGCCATTACATACAAAGAGGGGTAGAGAGAGAAGACTAGATTGTTGATCTATTGCCATAGATTATGAAACCCAATTCTCTGATAACACGAATCTGCCATCTCTGCTACAGATTCGAGCATCCAGTCAGTTTTGATTGAGGGTTGATTGATATCTATCTCAGTATATCCAGCTTTAAGGAAATTGGCTCAGGAAACTAACAACATCAAAATGAAACCATAATATAGTTGCGGGGTATCTTTGACACAAATTATTACTTGATTCAAGAAAGCATTGCGAGGTATTAATGGGATGGTGTCACCGCGAGGTGGTATCGTTGCAAGACGTTAGGCCTTAGTGTCCACTGGAGACCTCTTCTTGATGATGGTCGATGCGAGGTTCGTCAGAGAGCCACTGGTCAGGAGCTCAAGCACCTGAAGATTCGTGCTTAGCTCCTTGGTGATCCAGTTACGCAACTCAATGGCGTTTAGACTATCGAGGCCATATTTTGTAATCGGCGTCTCAGGATCCAAATCCTCTTGAGGTACCATCAGGATAGAGCTCAACTTGCCCGCCAAGCCAGTAGTAACAAGGTCGATGGCCTCCTCTTGCGACTTGGCCCGTGCAAGTGCCCTGCCAATAGAGACGCTGGCCTCGGAACCAACACCAGCAGCTGATGATGCGGCTAGAACTGCATTGCGCAAGTGATCGAACTTCGCATCGGCAGCAAAGTAAGGCAATTGGTCAGGGGTTGCGCCCTTCCCTCCCAATTTGAGCCCAGTCAGACAGTGATTGTCGCACGCAGATGCCATAGGACCGGTGATAGCTGCTTTGAAGAGAGCCAAAACCTCGTTTTCGCAGATGCTCTCATCGCCTAAATTTTTCATAACTTCAGTCTGGCGGGCGGTGTGATCGGCTAGGTATCCAACATCTGTGACCGCTGTGAGGTTGAGAGACGCGGCCGGAAGACCAAGTTTTCTGCGGTACTGTGCAAAAGCATCAAGAAAAGCGTTGGCTGCTGCGTAGGCTGCTTGACCTCGATTCCCTACGATACTAGCTGCCGAAGAAATAGCGATGAAGAACTCCAGTGGGGTAGACAAGAGGGCATTATGGATATTCCACGCGCCAGCTACTTTTGAGCGAATGACAGTCTGATAATCATCGAAGGTCATATTCTCGAAAAGAACATCCTACGTAAACCTTGTGTTAGAAAACCTGCTTCTGACTTTGTTGCTCTCTGGAGTCAAGAACTTGGAGAAAATGAACTCACCCTAAGGACCATGCCTGCATGGATAACACCAGCGATAGGGGGTAATTCCCGAGCGCAAAAGTCAACCGTACTTGTAACGCTATCTATCTCAGCGACGTCGCATGCTTTCACGATGATATTAGCTTGAGCACTTTGTTTCATTTCGCTGACTAGCTCGGCGACGGCGCCCTCTATGCGGCCGCTCCGGGACAGTAAGAGAATGGTGCGAGCGCCCTTTTGAATCATCCATCGTGATAACGAGCGGCCCAAGCCACCAGTTCCGCCGATAATGATGTAAGTTCTGTGGGCGTGGAGGAAAGTTTTGGTGTCTTTTAGATGCGTGGCCTTGACCTGCTCGCCAGCGCGTGGCATGACGACTAGCTTTCCAGTAGTCTTGCCACTCTGAAGCAAGCGAAAAGCCTTCTCAACCTCTGAGATGCCATAGACAGTAATGGGTGCTATGGGCTGGACTTTGGCGTTCTCGAACAAGCGCATAACGGCGTTGAAAGTGCGAGCCATGTGCGCTGGGCGCTCTTTCGCTAGTACTGTCAGGTCAACAGAGCTGAAGGTAGCATTATAGTTGAACTTTGCCATCTCAAGTCGCGTGTTAGATGTAATATCACGTTTTCCAATCTCGATGAATCGACCAAAGTGTGCTAAACAGTCCCACGTTTCACGTAGGAAATCGCCTGCTAGAGAGTTAATCACGACGTCGACGCCCACCCCGTTCGTGACTTCGCGAATGGCTGGGCCAAATGAAGTATCACGACTTGAGAAAATACAGCTTTCGGGGATTCCATAGACATCCATGATGAACTTCTTCTTCTCTGGGTTGCCAACGGTCGCAAATACCTTAGCTCCAATCATTTGAGCCAGTTGGATAGCGGCTTGACCAACGCCGCCGGCTGCGGCGTGAATAAGGACACTCTCGCCCTCACAAAGACGACCTAATTCAATGAGACCATAGTAGGCGGTGCAGTATACCACAGGGATAGAAGGAGCCACTTCAAAGGACATAGTCTCGGGGATCTTCGCCGCGCTGGTCTCTGGGCACCTTGCGACAGTGCTGTAAGCGCCTTCAGTCATAGCACAAACACGATCGCCAACAGCCAGCGTGGTAACATTAGCACCAATGCGCGAAACAATGCCCGCACACTCAATGCCAATATATGGACTCGGAAGCTGACCCATTGCAATAACCACGTCTTTGAAGTTCATACCTGTCGCCTTCACCTGAATCTCGACCTCGTGCATACCAAGCGCGTGTTCATCCTCATCAGTGAAGAACAGCGTATCAAGAGCACCAGTCGTGCCTATGGCCATCTTGAGACGCCGTGATGTCTGAGTGAATTCCTGTAAGTATGGCGCCGAGTCACTGAGCTCACGGTGCACGAATAGATTCATTTCTTCATCGTTGACAATGCGTGGTACAACCAAGACACCGTTCTTCTCGGAGTATTCCATATCAGTGACCTCATCGTCGATAAACACCTTATTGAAGGCTTGTAGAACAAGACCAATTTGGCCATGTTTGTCTAGTTGAGACGCAGGGTCCAGGTCTAACGTCGCCGCTTTTGCTGCCGTTTCAGAACGCACTGTCCGAGTAAGGCCTACAGCCATATTTGTCGACGGGTTAGTGGCATTCAAGTATGCCCCTTTAGTCACCCACAAAAGTCCAGCAGTTCCAGTCAAGAGCTTTTGAATGCGACAGAATCCTTCAGGGGTGGGTTCTGAAAGTACTGGCTTGTCTAGTTCACACAGAACAACGTGTAGGTCGTTTAAAAGTGGCACATCATCCAACGAGTAGACATGCACGGGCTTCCCCGTCCGGCCAGCAAGGGCATCAACGAGGTATGGCACGACTATATCGTCGTCTTGCTTGTCTGCGATGATGGCTACAGATATTTCAGGCCAATCATGTTCCGAAGCATCGCTGAGCGAGCTAGTACCCCTGACACTGCCACTTCCTTCGGACAGTGAGACAATATCAGTGACCTCTTGTACATCAATTACAGACACCAACTTTTTATCCAGTCCAGACTCTCGGACAACAGTGGTGGTGATATTGATAGACCTGTCAATGCAAGAGACATCCTCGACTTTAATGTCTAAGTCGGAGATCTTGTCGATAGGTGATACATAACCACTGTCGCTTGGTGCAAGGCTAGACGAAATGGAGCTACTCGTTGCGGAATCGGCGTCTTCCACAATCTTATTTGCGGGCTCCCATTTTAACTTGAAGCATAATTCTCGTGGCTCGTCTGTCATCATGCCTTCACTTTTAACAGGTGTCATGCATAGCCCGTTTAAGCTGATGATAGATTGCTCATCATCTGGTGTAAGCAATGCGTCCATAGAAAAGTCAGTTGCCCTTGGTGTGCAAAAGTCTGGACGACCGTGTCCACAAACATGAACTTTCTGGCCAACAGCCGATGGGATTGTTCGCTTCATGTGTAGCTCCTGGATAGCTGATGGCATGTATAGAGTGCCCATGCCAAAGCGCCCAGCCCCAAGGATTGGGAACGACAACTGGAAAACCTGATCAAGCAACGCCGGATGAACGTGATACACCGATTCGTGCTCCATAGGCATGACGGAGACTGTATCTGCAATATCGATAGTCGCAATGCAGTGATGCGGGCTAGCGCGGATAGCACTGAGCTTTCGGAATGCCGAGCCATAGGTAGCGCCTTTAGCATCAAGCTCCTGGTAGAAGGTTGAGACATCGACTTCCTCTTTGCAAAGCTCATCAGCTAGATGGAACTTTCGTGAAGCAATACCCTGATGTGCAGAACTGATTTGGTTTGTACCGTCACCAGTACGGACGGAGATGATGCCACGACAGTGTTCTGTCCAACCTTTACCCTGCTCCCAGGAACAGATACGAAATTCATCCCACTCATCTGAGTATGCACGTGTTCCCTCAGCATATCGTGACATGGTCAGCATTACTTCATAGCCAACCCCGTCTTCCATCAACAGAGGACGTTTGACTTGAATTTCGCGCATACTGAACCGATCAAAGTCCACATGACGCAGAACCGCCCGTTGAACTGATGCCTCGATGGCCATAGAAACGAAGCCAGCGAATGGAAATGTGGTCAGTGATTGCATCTTGTGCTCACGTAACCATGGAATGTCATCGACACGCAAGACGTTTCGCCATGTAGGCGCTAGCTCGTTGGAGAAGTCAGCTAGCAATCCCAGCAGATCATGTCGTAGGAAGGGCTTTCTCCGATGTTGTTGGGATATGCGTGACTCAGACCAGTACTTCTGCCGAGACCATGGGTATGGAATAAGGTCCGATATGATAGTAGGCGGCTCTGTCCCAGGATCTTCTGGATGAATGCCAGTGAAGTCAAGAGGCTGGCCCCTCATGTATAAATTGCCAGCCAGTGTCAGAACCGTCATTGTAGCATTTTTGCCTCGAAGGAGAGTGGGAAAGTAGCTAGTTCTACTAGCTGCCTGCTGGCCAATCCCCTTAAGAATTTGCTTGATTGGGCCCTCGAGAGCGCCATGCGGCCCGACCTCAACGATCACATCAGGAGGGCTATTCAGGCAAAGCTCCTTCAGCGAGGTTGAGAAGAGCACAGGATTTGTCAAATTATCAACCCAGTAAGATGCATCCAGTGCAGACAAGGCTATTTTCTTGCCATGGAGAGAGGAATAGAAGTCTATTCCATCTTTGGCCTCGGAAGCAGGTACAATACCTCTGATAGCCTCGAGGTAATAATCGGCAACTAACCTCATATGTGGAGAATGATACGCCACATCTACACGAAGCTTTCGATTGAAGAGCTGCCGGGTTTCAATTTTGGCAGCAAGTTCATCAATGGCGCTTGCGTCACCGGATGCTGTAATGGAGGCTGGCGAATTCTCGCAGGCTATTACGGCAACCCCGTTCAGGTCCTGAGTCAGGGGCAAGATCTCCGCGGGACCAGCACCGACAGCTAACATGCTACCCCTGAGCTCAGGATGCTGCGTTTTCATGGCGATGACAGCTTGTCCGCGATGGTACGCAATTGCCATAGCATCTTCAAGGGAAAGCGCGCCAGCGGCATATGCCGCACCAATTTCGCCACTTGAGTGCCCAGTTACTGAAGTTGGCCTGATGCCCCAAGAGGCAAGCAGATCTGTTAGACCAAGCTGCACTGCAGAACATATGGGCTGGCTGATATGGGCATCTCCGACTTGGGACGTTTCCTTATCCTTGAGAAGCTCTTCAAGAAGAGAGAAGTCAGCACCCAAATCATTTAAACACTTATCCGCGGCGCGAACAGTATCAGCAAAGACAGGATGTGTCTCAAGAAGTTCCCGACCCATGGCGTGCCATTGTGCACCTTGCCCTGTATAGACGAAGGTAATTCTAGGCATCTGAGATACGCGGAGGGGTTTGGCGTCTGCTGAGGCGACAGCCGAGGCGAGGTCTGACGCATTAGAAGCGACAACAGCGAGACGCCATGAGAGCTGCGAACGCCGTTGAGCAAGTGTATATGCCAAATTACGTAGAAGACCCTTTTGGAAGACCTCAGGGTGCTGCTCTACAAAAATGTTGAGCTGTTTCATCAAATTTCTGGCCGATGTCTCATCATTGGCAGAGAGCACAAATAGGCGCTGTCGAGGGTCCAAGTTTGCCTTCTTCTGACCAGGTTGGAGGTGCGAAGGACCACGCTCTAGAACGCAGTGTGCATTTGAACCACCAAATCCGAAGTTGTTGACACTTATATATTTCTTGTTGGCCGGCCATGGCCGCTGTAGAGTGGGAACCTAGGATTAGAATTAGCAACATTCTTGACAGCAGAACGTGAATATTAAGTTTCTACCAACCTTCATGTTCCATTTAGCCAGGGGTATGTTCTGGTTGGGAGTTTGAAAGTTGGTATTGGGCAGCACAAAGCCTTTCTCGAGCATCATAGTGGCCTTGATAATTGATATGACACCGCTTGCATTTTCCAGGTGTCCTACATTGCTCTTGACGGAGCCAATGTACAGAGGTGCTCGAGTGGTACGGCCATCGCCAAACACACTGTTAATTGCAGTAGCCTCAATCGGGTCTCCAACCTTGGTGCCAGTTCCATGCGCCTCAACGAAGCCAGCATCTAGAGGAGTGATACCAGCACGTGCATACACCTCTCGCATGAGCTGTTCTTGAGCCTTGCCGCTGGGAGAGGTAATTCCTATGTCAGAAATATCAACATTGAACATGTGTCAGAGCTAGCTCATGGCCCGCGGCGAAATGTAGACCTACCCACAGTCCTACCATCTTGGTTGACCCCAGTGTTTACGATAACTGACCGAATCTTATCATTGTCCTTGATGGCTTGGGCAAGTGGCTTCAGAATCAGCGCTCCGGCTCCCTCTCCTCGCGCGAACCCAGACTTAGCTCTGTTATCAAAGGCGTATGTCATGCCTTGATCGGAAAATAGCCTTTCAACATAATTGTTAGCATTATTTGTACAAATCATTTCAAGGTTCAAGGTCAACCGACCTAGACAAAGACATAGACACCCAGTCGCCGGGCTGGAGATTCCAGTGACAAGCCGCGACAATTGCTTGCTCGGATTCTCCATTGCGAATACTCTGTACGGCTTGATGCAACGCATACAGGGAGGATGAGCACGCAGTGTCTACGGTAAAACTCGGCCCACGCAAATCAAAATAATGCGAAATACGGCCAGACATGATAGATTGGTGATTGCCTGTCGCATCAAACATTGGAGTATGCTCTAAATCTCGCAGAGTCCCCAGGCGGTAGTCAGAGGCAGCGCCGCCGACAAAAACGCCGACCTTCTGTCCAACGAGGCGCTCCTTAGGAATGCCGGCGTTCTCAATAGCTTCGTATGCACATTCAAGCAGAAGCCTTTGCTGTGGGTCTAAATGCTATCATTAGCGGGATGAAACAAGATTAGAGGAGCGTGCGTGCAAGAGTTGCAAAACTCCGCCCTTGAAACAAAAGGAAGTCAGTTGAAGACCTACCCATTGCTTCCGCTTCAGCCTGTGTTATGTTGAAGAATGGTGCATCGAACATTGCTGGATCCTGTTCCAGGAAGTAGCCACCAACGGTATTAAAGGTCCCCATCTTTGCTGGATTCGGGTGATGATAAGCATTCTTACTGAAGCGTTCCTCGGGGATTTCTGACCAGCCGCATCGGGCACGAGACATCATCTCCCAGAACTCGTCAAGAGTTGAGACACCCCCGGAAAGACGGCACGCCATGCCCACAATTGCAACAGGCATGAGCTGCTGCTCCTTTATCGTATGGCTATGTACGTCCCCCATCGTGTCCCTTCTCGCTGAGACACCCTCGCTGGCGAGACTACCATTGATGTGGTTGTTGGCTGTAGTCGCCATGTGGGACTATATATGAGTGCAAAACTTGTTCAAGAAGATTGATTTTGCGGCTTCGAAAAGCCCTCAGGCTAGCAGAAGAGAAAGTTTCAGTAGTCGGGTGGTCAAGTCATCAATATCAGGGGTCAGTGGAGCAACATGGGGTTTATATCTGATAAATCGGCGAGCAAAGGATATGCGTTTGAACATTCCTCTTTAAGCCTCGCCGCTTGCTTCATACAGAAGCGATACAGTAGGTGACTCTAGGGTCACAGCATTTGTGGTCTCGCATTCGTGTTTGTATTCCTTGTAGACTAGGATAGGCCAATGAGTACACGTAACTACATAAACGCCTCTCCTCAAGCATGCACAGCGGTAGCACCAGTGGACTCTATCTGCGATCTTCCAAGTACAATCTTGAACTTCACTCTAATCCCCTCACGCATCGCAATGTTAGCCCACAGATCTTCACACCTGGGCGTTGTATCTATGTCCATCGGATGGAAGGCTGCTGGGGGCGCGCGATGGAGGTGGGGTTCGTCTAACAGGCCGCACCCCCCATCGAGTCGGAGTCGACATTCACTAGCTATCGGCAGTCAGAGACGAACTACTGCATGGTGTGCTTGAAGGACATTGCTTTCATCCCAGTTGCCGAGCTACTAGGCCGCTTTCAATCAGGGTTCAATCCTTTCTTGAAAACGATTTGCATGAGGCTAACCTCGGTTCAGCTGAGATGTAACTCTGTTTCGTGCAACACTGATAGCCTTGCCAGGGGGGCTGTTAGGCCAACACGCCCAGGAACGAATGGGGATCATAATTGAACTATCTAATCTCTCACCAACACGGTCCCCGTGGCCATTTTGCAGTCCTAGTCCGTACTCAACCACGTAGTGAGCGTCCTTCACAATCTCCACATGCTAACCGGTTAACACACAGACATGCACTCTAATCCACAAGCGCACTGTCGCAAGGTCATGTAGGAGCGACCATCTTGTACATTGAGATAAGAATGGGTTGCGTTACACTCCGTGATAAAGCCGCCGACACACATCTGTCGCCTTGTTTCTCTATCTCGCAGACCCTTCCAGGAAGGTCTAAATGTCAAAGGTATGCCGCGGGGCAGATCCGGATGCGACCCCCACGACGACTGGCGCAGCGCCAATTTCCTGCATCATCAACCTGGTTTTTGCCCATCAATATCGAGGGTTGGGGAGGAAAATGCGACAGGGCGATCTAGACTCCAATGCCGGAGCCTGATTCTTCACGTGTCGGGCAATGCGCGTTCCTGCGTGCGGCGTTTCGGGCAGGTGAATGGGAAACAGTCGAGCGCATGTGCATGGTAGAAACTATTGCCTATCATGACTTGTTTCAGTTATGATCGGCCATGTGATGTTACTTTGGAGATAAAGGCTACCCTGGTATGTGGGTCGACGTCGACGACATTGATGCTCTACATTGTACCATTTTTGTCTGCCGACTAGATTGCCCTCCTCACCTGTAGTTTCCGATGATCTCTCCATGTGCTTTCAAATGACCGAGCATTTCCCCACTGAGGTCTTGAACTTGTAGAAAAGGCAATCAAGGCTTTGCCGGTGAATGCCATAGCTAAACAAGTCGCAAACTTGCAACCAGCATAGACACAGATAGTTTCCTTCAAAACATCCATCCCGCAACTATGAAGTTTCTCTGTCTTCCAGGTGCCTATGGCAGTGCCAAGGTATGACACGGTGCTAGTCACGTTCTTGATTCTGCCACAAACACATTAAGTTGACTTCAATATAGAACTTTCAGGTCCAGCTTGGCCCATTTGTAGCGGAAGCCGAAAAGAGAGGTACTGCTCAGTTTCGGTGGACCCAGGGCGCCTACAAGGCCACACCTCCTCCTGGATTCGAGGACTACTTTGGGGCAGGGCCCCTGTTCCGCTTCATCGACTATGATGGAATGGATGCGTTTGATCTCATCGATAAGATTCGAGATTTTCCAGAAGGCACTAGTGCCGAAGAGACAATGAGAGCGTTGATGGGCAACGATGCAGCGAGTGCTGTAGAGAGCGTCCGCAAGACTCTACAAATGCTTCTTGATATCATAGACGAAGACCCAGAAATTGAGGTGAGTGTCCTGTGACTACCTCCAAATAATCGCGAATTAAGCTCATAATGTTTCAGGGTATCTTAGGCTACTCAGAGGGGGCAACCACGGCGGCGAGTCTCATCCTAGAAGAGCGTGACAGGTGGGAGAAACAAGGTCGGCCAAGGCGAATCAAGGTTAGTGTGCCATAGTATTCGCGTTTCTTCTACATTTGCTGATGAGAAAATTAGCGAGCGATCTTTTTTGCAGGATGGCCGCCACTATCTTTGGCTGATGGTAAGGTTCGAGTGCTACTCGCAGATGAATGTGAAGATGTCATTGATGTGCCGTCCCTTCACATTGTCGGGTGTAGTGATCCTTACATACTTGGTGCTATGGCTCTATTCAACATGTGTGACGAAGACTCGGCTGAGCTCTTCGATCACGGCAAGGGACACACCGTACCGCGGGACGCTCGCACCATTCAAGAGCTGGTCGATGCCATAGCTCGGTTGACGAAGAAAACAGAAACCTGGGACAACAGCACAATCAAGCTTGTTGATGTCAAACCTGATGAAGTGGGAAATAGTGGTGAGCAACGCGATATCAAGGGCTCAGTAGTAGCTGCCGTCACTTTGCCCGTAGGCGCTGCCTGATAGTGAGCATACTACATTGTCAATTTCATTCGTATTTCATTCCAATGTACAAGATGACCTAGAAGCAGCGAGTTTGTAGACAGTCCATATTTAGAATAGTCTTCTGGATTATGCAAACCATTGAATAGTAGTGAAAAAAATCACGGATGAAACCCAGTTTACACACTCTATAACTCAACTCCTTGCCATCTAAGCATGCTTTGAATGAAAGCAAAAGTGTTTTTACTGGTTGAATACGAGCCGATGTTACCAGATGGGTCTACTTGTAATATGCTGGTTGCAATGAAGGACAATGCACGATAATGAATGAACGGATCTCCTTCACGTGTATGGTCTATAGGCCAGGCTCTAACATGGGTTTGTTTCAGTCTGAGCATCACTCACTATCTTACGTATTGTCAAATTTGGTCGGTGGGAATCTCGGCCAGATCCTTAGCTTCCTATAAAGGGCTTGTTATCTGGACGCAACTGGCAAGGCACCTTAGCGTCGTCGAAGGCTTGGCATCCCTGCCTTTTGAAACAATCCCGACCGAGCACATGTGAAGACAACCCGGAAGGGCCCACAACCCCAGATTCGATAAAAACGGCCAGCGAGATAAAGTGGAATCAATACGTGTAGAGGAGAGATGCCGGTCTTATCAGCTCATTTTAATGTAGATCTAGACCGTATTAACGAGCGAAGTGGCATTTTCCTCGAGGTGGGAATATATAGAGTATTCACGCACGTTCGGCTCTTCCATCTCATGTCCAATCATGTCTCTTCCGTAGGTCGTGATGGTGTACGTCTGTTATTCTTCGGATCTTGCTTTGGTTGGCCACAGCTCTACCACAACTAGCTCAGGGCCATCGAACCCCTGCAGGCTAAGGAAATAAGACATACACCAGGGGTCTAGCTAACCAACATCTACAGATGTCCGCCGCATCGGTCATATGAAGTTCTGCAACGATGCTGCGTGTGACAATGGTCGAGACCCTACCAATTTGGTAGGTGTGTTCTACTAGGTAGTATCGGTAGTTACCTGCCTCACTCACTATGAAGTATTGCTTGCCGCTGATAAACACAACGCCACACATGCAGGTTTGGACGTACTTGTTGCCGTGTCTGGCGGCGATTTCTCATTTTGGTCTTTGTTTACTGTAGAAATTCTCATTCATCAAAGAAAGAGATCATTATGGAGAATCGAAAGGCATTGTTGTTTTTTACGAACAGCGAATGGGGTCAGGCAAATGTCATACTAGCCACCATCCATGAGTTCCTAGTTCGTGACCGGTATGAGATTCACTTAGCATCATATTCGCCGTTGAAGAAACGAGTCCAAGAACTTTTCATCACGCACGCAAACTCTTACCCGCGGCCCTTCACTGTTGCGTTTACTGACGAGGAGCGGACCCTCTCCCTGGAAGACAAGGTCGAAAGGCCGAGTCTTACATTCCACACCATCCCAGGACTTTCAGTGGCAGAGACATGTCACCGCGATCATATCGCGCACACATTGCCCCATGCCCCGGGCTTTAAGGGTGCCGTGGCATCTTACCGCCGCCTGGCAGAGTTTTTCATACGGTATACAGTTGACGAATATATGGAAACTGAGAACTACGCCAAACAAACCATACTTACCGTCAAACCAGCGCTCGTTCTTGCTGAACAAGGCTGCAATCCAGGTATTGATGCCTGTAACGAGCTTGGCATTCCATTCAGTATTCTGTCACCGAATTCATTCAAAGACTTCGAGCAATATTTGCAACCGCGATTGGCTATCCTATGGAAATATCCAGCCCTCTCATCAGCCTTCCCATACCCACTACCATGGTCACTCATCCCGATCAATATCTATTTCTGGCTTCGTATGCTCTTTGTGATCGTCGGCGCCGCACTTGACAAGAAATCGCGCCTAGCCACTGTCACCAAGGGCCGACACAAGCATGGGCTCCGAGGCCCAATTCCAATAGTTGATGCGTACAAGAAGGCTGCGGCCATCATTTGCCCTTCCCTTCCCGAGCTTGACTTCTCCATGGGCGTACGGCCTACGACCACAGGATGCGGCCCCATAGTGCTTCCGGTGCACCCAGTGGCCGAGCTCGATCCAGAGCTGAGCTCATGGATTCAAGTCGCTGGAAAGCGCACGATACTTGTCAACCTTGGCACGCATTATAGCATGGATCTCGAGCTCGCAATCGAAGTAGCACGAGCGCTCCTTACTACATTGAGTTGCTTTTCAGATATACAGATCTTATGGAAGATCATGCTCCGGAGCGACCAGCAGCACGAGGTGGAAGCTGTGTTTGGGGAACATGTAGCATCCGGCCGTATTCGCATGCAAGCCTGGCTAAAGCCGGACCCGGTGGCATTGCTTGAGACTGGCCGGATCGCAGTCCAAGTCCACCACGGCGGCGCCAATACCTACTTTGAATGCTGCCGTGCTGGCGTGCCGCAGGTTGTGCTGGCAGCCTGGTGGGACACCTACGAGTATGCCGCGCGCGTTGAGTATCTCTCTATTGGCGTCTTCGCCAATAAGCAGGCAGCTCCGCGAGCGAAAACTACTGAGTTGGAAAGCGCGCTGAAGCGCGTAGTTGGTGATGGAGAAATGCGACTGAGAGCAGAAGAGCTAGCGAGAACATGCCAGCAGCACGGCGAAGGCCGTGTTGTTGCCCATGATCGGATTGTCCACCTTGCACAGCTAGCTGTCCCAGGATATTATTTTGAAAAGGGGGGTGTTGCCTGTTAGGGTTAAAGTGGTCCCAGATATATTCTTTCTACTTGTGTGCTTTTATTGTTACGATTTGAAAGTGAAACTTTCAATCAGTTACGTTCGGTAAGTATCAAGAATCGGTTATGATTGTTAAAGCGCGAGGACAGGCCTTACGGAGAGGTAATTGTTGGATAGGACTGGTACTAAGTAGGACGCACCCATTAAAGTTGAGCGCAAGAGCTCGTGAATGAGACTACTTTGTATTGCGATATATAATGGACTAAACAATTAACAATTACTTTAGAAAAGATACAATTTACATGCTGCAGTTGATGTCTTTCAGAGTTGGCCAAGTAGAAAGAATCCACAGATAACTAATACAGGAACGGTGGCCCCAACGATTGCTCCCCCGCCCCCCAAGGCCATGAATATGCCTAACTGTGGACCGTGTTTTCGACGCCTGCTGCTAAGATTCACTATTAATCCAGGGAAGTATGTAGAGAAAGAGCTTCCAGAGCTTGTTGACGGTATTCGCAACAAACTTGACTCTGGGCTTGGTGACAGGTTATTCGACACGTATAAAGCCAGAGAAAACGAAGATGAGGGAGAATACCGTCTCATCATTGTCGGGGCGCTCATGATGCGGGCTGGTGCAAAGATCCGGGACGATGACATGCAACACCTGCGTGAGCTTGTACCTAAGGTTGTGTGTAACGAAGGCTACATCATGTCGATGTATGGCGATTGGTTTCGAGGCCCCGGGAAACGCCAGTTTCTTGCAGCACTGGATGATTATAAGGCAGGAATGCCCCGGAATTTTCAAGAACCCAGGTAAAGTTACGCAATTCGCCTCGCTGCCAGTGTTGTTGCTAAGAATTTTCAGTTGTTTCGCTTGCGGAAATATTGCAGAAAATACTGGAAAGAAGCCAATGCAATGCTTGACCTGTAAAGCCGCCTGGTATTGCGATGACGTGAGTCGTACATTCCATTTCCCCACGGACCGATGAAGTAATATTGATCCGTGCTCAGAATTGCCAGAAGAAACACTGGGAGAACCACAAGCCCTTTTGTATACTACCCGAGGATAGAAAGATGCTGAATGTATAACGAGTGGGTTGTTTGATGCGCATGAGGACTGTGTTACTGAGCTATCCTATGACAAGTGCTCCAAGAAGTTTGTCTACAGATGTCGCAATATACCCATATAATTACTGGAAAGAATTCCAAACTCAGACCAATAATGAGACTCGCTTATGGAGTAGCCGACCGGGCACCTTCCTTGCATGGGCAAGCGTTGGACAAATCAGGCTGCACATTGTAAGTACCCAGCGCTTGACATGTCCGTCGGTCCTCCGGATTTGATGGCTCGAGTCGTTCTCTCTTGACTATTTAAGAATACTGCATTTCTCATCTAGAAATATCTTTGACAAAATGGCGGCTCCCGAGCAAGTAGACTTGGACTCTATATCAAAGCAAATTTTACAGCAGCTAGGAGGAACTCCATATGCTTGCTCTTCGTTGCTGCCGCTAGCCAGTAGACCAGGCAACTATGTTTACCGCGGCATTTTACTTCAGCCCTTCCCTCCTGAAGATGGAAATGCAGGTAGAAGTATTATAATCAAATTATCAGCTGAGTCTATTCCCAGCAACATCCCGATGGATACACCGGTAAGCTTCCCGTTCCATGACTGGATGTACTGTGATAAGAATAGATATCTCATAAGTGAGGTTCCTGACAGGTTTTTGGGACGGTCTTGCTACAATCGCTTGCTCACTTTTCGCCTCCTTTAAATTCAACTCAGATCAAGGCACCGCAATTGCGTCATTTCGATCGCGAAACTAATACCCAGCTTCTGGAAGACTTCCATGATACTGATGGACTGAAATCGATTTTGTTATCGACACATGGTGAAAATTCCATATCGCACGCTAATCTAGCTATGATTGGTCATGACCTGGGATTCTGGCTTCGATCATTCCACGATTGGGGCACGGCACCTGAGCAAGCTGCCCTGCGGGCACAAATGTGGCAAAACAATCCTATGAGGAAAGTGAAATATTGTCAAACCTACGGAAGCTTTTTGAGGGTACTTGATGACTTTCCAGAATTGTTGGTCGGTCACCAAAAGACGTTGGTACCCTTCCAATATGCCATGGCAAATGACTTTCAGAAGCCATCTACAGATATTGACGAAGGTTGGGGCCTTGTACACGGTGACTTCTGGTCAGGAAAGTAAGTCAATTTCTTTAGATTCAATGACAATGTTAAATTTTGTACTTATCTTAATCGATCAGTGTTTTACTTCCAACTGCACCATGGCAAGCGGCGTCGCCGTTGGACACGAAGAACAAACTATTCATCATTGACTGGGAATTCGCTCAGTTTGGCCACAGATCCTATGACCTAGGCCAAATTATCGGTGACCTTTATGAGCGGAAGATCTACAATAATCTAGACAATGCAGTCAAAGTAATGGAAGGAGTAATCGACGGCTACGGCGAGTTGAATGACGAGGTGGCTTTTAGAACTGCTATTTACGTAGGCGTGCATTTAGTCAGCTGGTACAACAGACGTCCCCGTAAAGGACCTAGGGTGGTTCCTCTCGAAGCAATCATTGCTGGTTTGACGGTTGGCAGGGATCTGATTATCAAAGGATGGGAGAAAGACAGAAAGTTTTTTGAGGAGAGTGCTCTTAGGTCCTTATTTACCACAAAATAGACCAAAGTTCAACAAATTTCGATATTATCTCTCATGTTGAAGGGTTGTTATGGATAGCATTCAAGCCTATGCTTTATGGTTAAAAGACTACTTATATTGCATGACAAAGTGGCCCAACAGCTTCAGATCTTCTATCTGAGCACTCGGCGGTCTTGTCCATGGTGCTCTGGTCTTGTTATCTGAGGGTTTGACTTAATTTGTACGCTCAATATCTACGCCACCTCCTTGTTATCTCCAAGTTGGTCATCATGCGAAACATCGCGCTTTGCTTCCAGGTTCTCTTTCATCCGGCGCTTCTCTTCCTTTCCTTCGAAGAGATATGTTAACTCTTCGAGTGTAGGTCCGGCCGTTTCCACGAAGAAGAAGTATACAATCAGGAAGACAATTGCCACCCAGATACAATAATAGATGTAGAACTTCCAGCTGATATTCTCGAGTCCGATTGGGTTGACGTAGGAGCCGAAGATGGAAGCAACCTGGATGGTGAGGAGAACAAAGGCCCACGTCTTCGCACGCATCTGATATGTTACGATCTCTAGAGGGTATGTGACTATCAGATTCGTCCATGCCAATGTATAGAACCCCTGGAATATGAAAATGCATGCGAGAACAAGCCGACCAGCAGGCAATGAGCCCTTTTCGATGTACTGCTGAGAGCCGATCGTCCAAACGATGAAGGTGACAAGAACACCCGCTGATCCAGTGACGAAGAAAAATCGCCGCTTGAATCTATTAATCACCAAGGTGACTCCAATGGCGACGATATACTGCCACAACGTGACCATTCCATTGACAAGTGTGATTTCGTATTGTGTCTTCAGGCCGGTGTCCTTCAGAATCTGGGTGAGATAGTTTGATACAAGCAGATTTCCGCTTGACTGGCTGAAAACCGCTGTGGCAAAGCACAACGAGATCCTCTTCAGATTCGGGATTGAGGAGAAGAACTCTTTCCATGTCATGTTGGCCTCAGCTTCCTTGTTAATGGCGTGTTGAATCTCCGTGCACTCAAAGTCGACAAGTTCGGAATTTGGGTCACCCTCTCCATGGTATTTGACAAGAATAGCCTTGGCCTCTTCAAGACGACCCTTCGCAATGAGCCAACGAGGTGATTCCGGGCAGAAGTAGATCAGAGACCCTTGGTAAGCAGAGGGTATGAGCTGAATCAGTGTTGGGAGCCTCCACGACCACTGACTGTCGATACGGTAGGCTCCAAAAGTTGCCCATGCACCAATCACATAACCAAGCACAATAGAGGTATTGTAAAAGGTGGTGATCTGTACACGCTCTTTAGGATGACTGAGTTCGGTAACGAGCACTGGTGCGCCCATCTGGATAAGCGACGATCCGATACCGAGGACGATCTTTCCCCCAATATACATATCCAAAGATGTTGCGAAGAACTCAACCAAGACACCAGCGATGATGACGATAGATCCCAGCATTGTAGGCAGACGACGTCCAAAAACATCGCCGATCCAGCTAAGGAACAGGAACGGCACAACACCTCCGATAGCGTTGGCTGCCCCAAAGAAACCGAGTTTAGAGCCAGTCGGATATCCGAAGCGCTCCTGCCAAGACTGGAGTGCTTGCATTCCATTGGTCATAGACTGTTTTCAACAACATTAACCCCATGTCAGACAAGTGTAATAGAAAGATGAGGACTTACGCCGTCGATCCCCAGAGCCATACTTGCTATGAGCGAGGACGTCAAAAGGAAATAGAGCAGAATACCATTCTTGCGGCGATAGAATGACGGGATAATCTTGAGGTCAATTGGTGACTCAATGTCATCCACTGCACGGGCAGCAGCTCGGGCGACAGCTGGAGCCATGGCTGGTGTGTTCGATACAGGAAAGGAGAAAGTGTGGGGAGGTTTCTTGAAAGCGTGTCTTCCTGCTGACTATACAAGCAACTCAAGAACGAGAGAATCGCGGGGTTTATATGTTTAAGGAGACTCAGAGGCCATCCCACACTTCCTGCAGGGTTTGCATGATTGATCTGACGAGGATTCAAGAGTCCGCCATGTCTAGAGCATCTCCCCATGGGGCTAACATAGTCCTCACGGGGAATCGGGGAAATGGAGAGAGGGAGACGTGGATCAGCGGAGAAATCTGTCGGCGAAATTCCACTAATACTCGCGTGATGTTGATCCACTTAGAAATTAGCTTCGCAGATGATCGCCATAGTTGGTCCACAGAGCATCCGCAATGTCCTTGATCCTCATATTTTGCTTCAAAAGATGTCGAATTTGAAGAGCTATGCCTTCGTTGAAGTAACAGGAAAGAATTAGTGATATTTGTCTCCTGATTGTTTTGTCAGACATCCCGCAAATCTGTTCAACATCCGAACACAAACGCTTGAAGACATCTAACACGATTCGGATTAACAAACAAAATGGGATCAACTACATCGTCTTCTCTGCCTCCAAACTTCGAATGGGGCTTCGCAACCGCTGCGTATCAGGTTGAAGGAGCCACAGAAGTCGGAGGACGTGGCAAAAGCATTTGGGATACATTCTGCCATCTGGAACCATCCCGCACCAAGGGTGCCGACGGCGACGTAGCCTGTGATCACTATAATCGATATGAAGAGGATTTTGATCTTCTATCACGATATGGCGCAAAGGCATACAGATTCTCACTCTCCTGGTCAAGGATTATCCCTCTAGGCGGTAGGAATGATGCCATCAGTGAGGAAGGTATCGCCTTCTACAACAAATTAATAGACTCTCTTCTCGCGAGAGGCATCACACCATGGGTGACCTTGTACCATTGGGATCTACCCCAAGGGTTACATGATCGATATGGTGGCTGGCTCGATGTTGAAGAGTCGCAGAAGGATTTCGAACACTATGCCAGATTATGCTTCGAAAAATTTGGAGATCGGGTACAAAATTGGATCACGTTGAATGAGCCATGGATTATCTCCATTTTTGTAAGTGACAGATCCGAGGCAAATGTACGAGTTGCTCTGACAGTGAAAAGGGGTATGCGACAGGGATCAATGCTCCAGGCCGGAGCAGCATCAACGCCCAGTCGACCGAAGGAGACACCACCACCGAACCTTGGACCGTTGGCAAGTCACTGATTCTCAGTCATGCTCGTGCAGTTGCAGCATACAACAAGGATTTTCGACTTCGACAAGGTGGCAGGATAGGAGTCTCTTTGAACGGGGACTACTATGAACCTTGGGACGGTTCTGACGAGCGCGATATCGCTGCTGCAGAACGTCGAATGGAGTTTCACATAGGCTGGTTTGCAAACCCCATGCTGTGAGAGAAAACAATATCACCCATCTTATGAAGTATATCAATACTAACTATTGCAAGTTTGGCGAAAGACTACCCTGAATGCATGCGAGACCAGCTCGGTAAGAGGTTACCTAAGTTTTCGGATCCAGAATTTGCTCTACTTCGAGAGGCTCAGGTCGACTTTTATGGCATGAACTACTATACTGCTCAGTATGCTCGTCATCGCACAGAACCGGCGTCCGTGAATGATTTCATGGGAAATTTAGAGGAATTGCAGGAGAACAAGGAGGGAGTGTCCATTGGTGAAAAAAGCGGCGTTCACTGGCTTCGATCGTCACCGCATAGCTTTCGCAAACATCTTGCTCGCATTTATCATCGATATGGCAAACCAATTTACATCACAGAAAACGGGTGCCCTTGCCCAGGAGAGGACAAGATGACGCGCGAGGAATCTGTAAAGGATCATTATCGTATTCGTTATTATGAAACCCATCTCGATGCTATCAGTCAGGCGATAAAAGAAGATTCTGCCGTTATCTCAGGATATTTCGCATGGTCATTAATGGATAATCTAGGTAAGTCAGCCTCTCTATGCAATCTACAAATGGATGGAAGCTCATGCTATATCAGAATGGTCCGATGGATATGGGGTTCGGTTTGGAGTAACCTACACGGACTACGATACGCTGGAACGAACGCCGAAGCTATCAGCTTTGGCCATTAAGGGACTGTTTGATGACAGAATGAATCGTAGAGTCTAAGGCACTAGCTCTAGATTGTTCCCTCGCTTTTCAGAAGCTTCTTCCTATGTATTACTCTAAAAGATGTATTACATTCACATTCTTTAGACTAAAGAGGTATACAACGGTTACAGGACATCTTTCATGAAACAGGTTTCAGCAGCAAGTACACAGATAGATTTCTCATCAAGTTTACATCAGCCATCCATTGAGTACATAATTATACAGTCCAAGAAGACCCACTACGAAGAGTGTCCGATGCCTTCGAGTCTAGTCTAGCAAGGATATCCAAAAGAATGGTAAAATCGTTACGAGCTCGAGACGATAGAGGAGATGTCTCATTCAAATGAATGATTGCCAACAAGCTGGCCCCTATAAGTCGAATTTTCTCTACCTGGAAGCATGTTAGTTACAGATGTTGAACTCCGGACTTAAGTTAGTTTTGTGACATACACATGGCTCTCCATTCACCTGCAAAGCCCAAAATGGGGCACCGCGTATAATACGAAGCATGTCCCGAGCGATGTCGGTTTTTCTTAAGATTAGCATATCGGCTGATTCCAAGTCCGGCTTAAAATAATCAATCTCCTCGAACCGCTGCGTGATGACCATCCGCAGACAGTGGTATGTGACTTGAAGGTTGGTGGACTGGATTGAGAATTGCCTCCTCAAGCCAGTTTGCTCGCCGTGAGATAGAAGGCTGTCAGGCTGCAAATATGGCGGCAGGCTGTCGAGACACGTGGCAAACCTCACGTAAAGTGAATCGATGCGGTGTCTCTCTTCTTCAGACAGACGGTGTTGAGTTGAGGACCCATCAGCCTTCATATATTCTATGAGTCTAAGTTCGAGGAGCAGATCCGACGCAGACTGCCAGAGCTGAATGTTGGCATTGAAGCCGACGATTAAACTTGGAGGCTCTGCTGGTCGAGTTGCCGTGGGAGTCTCAATCCATCCAGGCGATAGTGGAGTCTCTTCTCCGGCTCCGGAAGGGTATGAAGTTGTGATACCTGACTCAAAAGAGAACTTGTGAATAGTGATGGGGCGGTTATTGAGCAGGGCAGCGGATTTATCACCGAGATACACTATCCAAAAGGCTCTACGCCGTAGTTCCGCCTCCATAGGAAACAAGCCTTCGTGTGACGACTCATCATGCAGCTGCATAACCTGGGCCAAACGAACGGCTTCTCCAAAAATATGCCATGAGAATTTAGGTTTCCCAGCAGCATGAAGGCAGTTGGAATGAAAGTATCTGATAGCAACAGAGCTTTCGATAGGGTTCTCAAGGTCAACTTCAAGGTAACTCTGTAGGCAATCACGAGAGGCCTGTAGAAAGGTGTTCGCAACGAGATAACCTTCCGGAAACACCTCTTTGGGCAGTAAGAAAGCAGATTCGGCACATACGGCGGTGATCAGCGTGAAGTTTGGCTCGGGCCACAATTCAGGATGGGCAAGACTGCTGGCGCTGTCGAGAGCTTCATTGCCGCCTGGACTCCTATGAGCTTGGGATGTCCACAGACTGGGGACTGTGGATGGCGCCGTATGCTGTCTCAACGTTTCTACTACACCACGTTGTGCTATGAAGAACTCCAGTGCGGCGCGAAGACTGGGCTCGTGGACAAGCGGAGTCAGAGGGTAAAGATATTCGAAAAATAGATCGAGGCATTGCCTGGCAATGCTTTCCAGCGCCAACGATGGGCCTTGACACTGGATAGCTACAGCTAGGTCATTCCATCGCTGCAAAGACGAAACCAGTTGCGTCGAGATGCCTTCAGAAACTGAACTCGGCGTGGCCTCCTGGGGAGACAAGGCTGGATCAATGGCGTTCCATGTATCACCAGCGAGGGATATTGTCGGAGGTGGCGGCGCTGTTGTGGTATTCCGAATCGATGCCAGCATCTCCTCCGGGTACCGGATGCTTGAAGGCGGCGATCCTCCGACATGCAGTGTGCCTAACGGATCAAGCCTGTCGCGTCTCGACTTTGGGCCTCTCTTGCCCGTGGGCAGGGCGAAGGTGCACGATTCGCCAATATCCCGACAGTTCGTGCAGGCAGACGCCTCCGTATAGTCGCACTACATGGCGTGTCAACAGGTTGCTACTTTCCTACTGTGACCGTCCTCCAATAACAGAGTACGAAAGAGAATAGTGCAACTAATCCCTTCTTTCCGTGCTCAACCCTCTTCGAACTATTGTGATGCGGCGCCGTGCTCACCTTTGCTTTTCTCCGCCGGCAGCGGTCACAAGCCCTACTCTTGAGAGTGCGGCGGCCGGAAACGCTCATGAGAGACATTTAGATGAATGGGGACACATCCGGAGAAATTCTCTCGTCTGTGGGCTGCCCATACTCCGTGATAGCGCGCGCGAATTGTTGGTATGAAAGGCAGCTAAACGTGGCTTCGGTCATGAGGAGAATTGCGGGGATCCCAACGGTCAAATACCCAAGACCTAATGCTCGCAATTTCTCCTAAACTTGCCTATTTGTGCATGATTTTTCCTTGAATCCATTTCTCCGATGACGAAACTGGGTCTCAAGGCATACCTCGGCAGGGAGGAACGTGGCTTGACCTATCATACCACCGTTGTCCCAGCACAATTTCGGCAATGATCGACTGTGGAGTGCACGATCTGGTGTGGAGACAGTCCCAAAAACCTGGAGACTCCGACTGTGGGGTTAATAGTCGGACTTTTGGTAAGTGGGG